CGAATTTCCAGGAATGGAGGGAGTGTATATATATATATATATATATATATATATATATATATATATATATATATATATATATATATATATATATATATATATATATATATATATATATATATATATATATATATATATATATATATATATAAAGCCGATCTCGCAGCCAAGGCACGAGACAGCGACACTTGGCATTCCACTTTTTCGCAAAGTGTCGCGTCACGTAGGCGACAAATAGGTATTATTGTGACACATATGATGCTAAGTAAATGATTTTTGGATATATTTTCTTAAGATAAAATTGTTGTATAGAGTTTTATTATCACTATACTTCTAATATTTCATATATACAATATACAAAAACAGGTAACCCATATTATAAGTAACCCTTTTTTTTTTTTTTAAATCAAAAGTAACCCCTAATTTCAAGTAACCTATATTATAAATTTCCCCTAATTTCAAGTAACAAATACTATCAGTAACCCCTCAACAGTTAACCCATATTATAAGTAACCTCTTTTCTTCATCTTATTCTTTAATAGATCTCCTTCGAAAGTACTCCAATGGCGCCGAAGAAGACACGACGAACAACCCCAACTACACCAAATCAACCAAGAAACCCAACAACCCTGTTTATATGCTTTTGTTGCAGAATTGCTTGAGAATTTTGCCGAAAATCGCACATAAAAACCCCAAAATCGATTTGGGGGTTTTCAATTTACTTGCTTTTTGTGTAAATTTCTTGGATGAATTTGTTTGTATGTTGTACCAATCATTTTCATGAAAGGTAGGAGAGAGAAATCATCCTCAAAGAAGGTAGGAGAGAGAAAAGCATGAGAAGGGGAATACAATGAGGAGTGAGAAGTGGAAAAAAAAAAGGCTTTAAATGGGGGTCCGTTATTTTTGGCTTTAAAATAACGGAAAACGGGATTAGAAATGGGGGTCCGTTATTTTTTGTAAGCAGGTCACATGGTACAGCAGGCCGCATACAAATAATTGTATAAAATAATTCAAGTTCAATAACAATAATTTCAAGTCAATAGTAACATAGCTATCTATTTACAAACAAAACTACAAAAATTACACTATTATATGATATCGTATGTCTAAAGATCTTGCATTATCAAAAGAGATTATATGCTCATATATAACATTAAAGCCAAAAGTTTATCCTAAAATTTTATCAACAATTTGAGCATCGCCCGCACACAAAACTAGTATATATACATACATGGACCCTTCACCATGTGGCATCAAAATCTATCATTCAAAAACTTGTTCAAATATTGCCTTTTCAACTTTATGTAAATTTCTTAATGAAGCTTTAGTTTATCGTATTTCCTTTACTTTATCCTTTTGTTGCAATAAGTAAGCTTCAACAATAGCAATAATATATTTACATTGATGAGTGCAAATTAAAAAAAGTGTAGTTTTAGAGTTTGTGTCCTTTGTTTACATCCGGTCCGGCAGTGGCGGAGCCAGGATTTTCAACTTGGGGGGACAAAATGCTTAACTTACGAAAAGCTTAACAAAAAAAAAAAACAAAAATTGTCGAAGATCGGGTTGTTTAGTTGCCTTTGATTTGGTACATTACTATTACTTGAACCACCCATTTCCATACTATTTTCTTGACTTTGAGGGGAGCTAAATGAAGGTGAGTTATTGGACTCATTTTCATTGGACTCATTTTCATTGAGTTTCGTTCTTTTAAACAAGAATTGTCGAAGATCGGGTTGTTTAGTTGCCTTTGATTTGTTTGAATTTGGTGAATCGTTTGACATTTCCTAATTAAATCGAAAATTATATATCAATTTCCACAAGACCACAATCCACATCATTACATAATAACAAAACCTAAGAGGCTAAGATTTTAAATTTCTAATTCAACTACACATTTCAATAATTTACAATAATTAATAAATTTAAATTCACATTTCACAAAAACAACCAAAAACTCTAACAGGGGAAACAATCAAACAAATATAAATCAATAATCATTTATCAATTCAAATTATTCAATAATCAATACCCACGATTCCATAAGCAGCTCTCCATTTCTACCCCTTATTTCAATCTCATCATATTATTATAGCTAAGAAATCAAATATACTTTCTTCATTTTAATACTCAGAAAAATTAATCAAACAAGTAAAATCAGCAACATTTTAAACCAAAACTAAGACAATCAACTTATATAATATAAACACAGTAATTGAATGCTCATCATCAATGACTAAAACCCACAAAAAATAACCATCATTGAAACTCTTAATCAAACCAAACACATTAATAATCACCCATATTGTTCATATTAAGAAGAAAAAAAAAAAACCAATCTTTAAACCCAACATTAATCAGATCAATCAATACAGAAACCAACAGAGAATTCTAAAACAAACCCAGAAACCAAATTAGCAAAGACAAGAAGGGTTACCTTCAAATTATTGAAATTCCTGATTAAGACTGAATTGGATTATAAAAAAGCCGGCAATATGAAGCTAAATAGAATAAAAAGGAGATTAACCCAGAAATCAAAATTAAATTTCAGCTGGAGTGACAAGGCCACAAATGACAAATTCACAATAAAAATATAAACAATTAAACATTTAAACAAGTAATAAAAATATGAAATTCAGAATTTCAGATTTACTGTAAATTTAAACAATTAAACATTTAAACAACAAAACAAGTAATCAATTATTCAATTAATCATACATTCATTGATTCATACCTCCATTGAAATGCATATGACGAACAGACGAAGTGTCGATCGAAGTCACGCTGTCACGCTGTCACGAAGACACGAAGTCACGATTCACGAAGGACGAAGGCTCAAGGGCTGAAGGGCGGCTGTTGAACCTCGTCACTGCTACGAACAGACGGCTAGGCGAACAGACGAAGTCACGAACACACGAAGTCACGAAGGAGGAAGGACGAAGGCTCAAGGGCGGCTGTTGAACCTCGTCACTGCTGCGAAGTGCGAACTGCCGGCGAACGGACGAAGACTGCCGGCGAAGTGGCGAACGGACGAAGGCGAGGGCGATTGGGCGAATCGAAGAGAGAGAAATTGAAAATTGAAAAACTTAGGGTTTGGCTTTCAGGCTTTGGCTGGCTGGAAAATGTCGCAACGCAACTTGTAATTGCATTTTTTTTTTTTTTTTTTTTTTTTTTTTTAAATTTTTTTTTTTTTTTAATTTTTTTTTTTTTGAAAATGGGGGGACAAGTGTCCCCACTCGTCCCCTTCTAGCTCCGCCCCTGCGGTCCGGTGCTTGATGCAATTATTTTGTGAGCCTAAAATTATATCTTTGGGTGTACTTTAGAACTAATGCTTAGTATAAAAATTCACATAGTTTTAGGTATGTGTTAAAGATTGAGATGGGATTTTAATTAACTATTTGTCCTTCGAGACTTTGTATGCACCCAAAATGAAAATGCGCTTTAATCGAAATTTGATTAAAAAAATGGATAAATATATAATTCAAAACATTGTCATATGATATCTTGTTAATTTTTCTCAATTTTATTTGTAACTAAATTACAAATAATTTTTTTTTTTATTTAATACATGTCTAGAGGTATTGTTATTACAATATGGTCGATATCACATTAGAAATTAGGCAAGATTTAAAATGAGACCGTGTAAAAGCACGGAGATAGTATATAATTATTAGCTAGGTAGTTGTAGAGTGCAATTGGACATCAAAAAAAAACATTAAGGTACAATATTGTTAGTGATTATGGTACCAAAATCATCAATTTACGGTTTTGTCCAATCTATACTATTATCTAAACTCTAAGAAAACACGCTATTGTCAATTTATCATGTGTCATCTTTCCCCTCGAAAAATTGGTCTAACGTGTAATTGTGTCCATTTTGTGTGTGTAATTGTGTCCATTTTGTGTGTGTATCCAAATATGTATCCTTACACGATCATGTACAATCCAGCAAATAAAATATGTTGGATAAATTGTACCAAAGAATCTAAACTATAATCTCTATTATATACTCAAGTAAAAGGGATATAGGAAAAAGTAAAATATATGTAGTGTTCAAATTATGGAATCTCCAAAATATTTCATTCACTTTATTTGTTAATTTTGAAAAGGACAAAAAAAAACAAAAAAAAAAAAGCACTTGAAAACAAATTTAGGTAAATAAAAAAATTCAATGACCCATGATTATCTATAATTGGGTTTGGCACTGTTGAATTGGACTACATGATTCAACATTTTATTTCGTAGTATTCAATGTGTAAGTCGTTATAAATTATGTATGGTAAAAACAAATTTTTTATCTTGACAATATTTTTTTAACTTGTATGCACATAAGTAAAAAAATAAACTATAATAAGGTGATAGACTAGGTACCTAATACTGTTCATATTATTCTTTATATTTTGACCATTTTTGTCTCGTAAAAAAATTTTCAATAAAAAGAACAATATGAAATAGGAGTAACAAATTGTGGATATATTTTTCCGACCATATTGCTATCGTGCATTTGTGTTGGTTCATCTTCTTCGATCCCATGTTAGTTTATCGATCTTCCGAAGGAAAAGATGATAAATAGATTGGTTTTATCCTAGGGTAGCTAAGTAGTCTTTCTTTCTTCCAAAAAATTAAAACCCAACATTAGATTTTATACCGCTTGTCATGTTTTTTTAGGGTGGTGAAATGATGAAGATATAGAACTCATTCTTAAAAAGCTTAAATGACAACCAAATTAGAGTCCAATCGAGTACCATATCCAAACAACACAAGCTTGAAAGAAGCTAAAAATCTAAAAACCAAAAAAGTTTCAAATTAACATGCTAAGAGATAAAAGCATTCAATTGTACCCATCATATATAAGCATGGTTTAATCCTACCCTTCACTTTCAGACAATAACGTTTTCATAGGGACCATATATGGCATAATTATTTACTAAAAAATATAAACAAGAAATTTAAATAATTAATTAATTAATACTATGAAGTATATCTGTATATGACAGGATGGAAAAGGAAGTATATAGAGACATCATAATTCAAAATTTCAAAAATAAAATTAAAATAATATTTGGAATGAAGGAAAGAAAAAACATGAATTTCATCAACCCTTTTTGCTTGGAGCCAACTTTATTTTTCTGTTTGCTGGCATTTAAATTCACCTTCATACATATAAACCTGCATACTATGTTAACTCAAGTTTCCTTCTTCAGAAATTCTGTAATATATTATTATTTCTAATTTTTATAATTTTGTATTTGTTTTTCTTGGTGTCAAGTCTCTAACAGATAGATAAGTTTTAGCAACCCCAATCAAATAATCAATGCATTGTTCTGCTGTGTAATCTGAAAAAAAAATAAAAAAAGAAATATATATATTTTCTCCTTAAACTTCTTTGTTTTAACAACAAAATCTTTTCTCCTTAAACTTCTCTGATTTGATGGCTATAGCTTCAACCAAAGAAGAGGCTCCGAGGCGATTATCGGAGTTTCTTAACGAGCAGCAAGAACCGTTCGTGCTGGAAATATACTTACGTGAAAGAGGGTATCGTATAAGAAAAAGCTTGGAGTTAGAGGGTGGACATATTGGTTGTTGTTCAACAACGTCGAACCATAATCTTAAGAACAGCTCAAGCAATCAGAATTTGAAAAAGAGTTTGAATCATCATCATGTTGGAGCAAATCATGTACCAAGGAAGAGTAGTTCTATTTCAAGCATTGCTAGGAGACTGGTTAATAAAATCGTTTCGATGAAGGGGAGGAAGACGAGAACAACGAAAGAGAATGAAGTTGAGCCTGCCAACAAATATTCTTCTACTAGTGGCTTAACTACACTGTCAAATTATACATGGTTTGAGGGTGATACAGATGGAGATACTATCAGTAGATCATCTCCGGCCAAGAACGAGACTACTCGTGATGATAAGGTATGTTCCTTAGAGTACTATTTTGTGTATGTTATTGTGTGAGGTCGGAAACTCATTTTTATCTGCCGGCAGTCAGCATCAGATAGATTGATGATTGAATGGAGAATTGTCGAAGACAACAAACAATGCAGTCCGGATTCAGTCCTTGATGAACTCGATTTTGATGCTATCGCAGTTTATAATGGTAAGTTTGTTTTATCCGAATCTTTTAATAACATCACTTTAAGTTTTTACAAAGTCTACAGTTTTTTTTGTGTCAAAATTGTGTGTAAGTAGTGCTAAATTGATTGTTCAGCCATATATTTGGCACTCTGACTCTTACAAGTCATATGAAAATTCGAATTCGAATTCAAATACAAAAGTTCAAAATTGATAAATCATAAAGAGACTTTAGGAATATTGATAATGTTTGTGGGGTTGAAACAGCGAAAAAACAGCATGAGAGAACTCCAGTAGAATCAAGAATAAGGTTTCAGAGAAATGTTTCAGAGGATGCAATTGTCTCGGCCTCGCTTTGGGAACTGCTGGTGCAGTTCAGAAACAAGCCAAAGCAGCAAGGGAGCAGAAAACCATTTCCGGAGTACATGAACTCTAAGAAAGCCTTACAGCAAAATCGACAACTGATGTTCGACTGCGTGAGAGAAGTGGTAGAAAATGGGAAGCAACAGAACAATGGCAACAGAGAGAATGGAATAAAAATAGGACCTGAAGAAATTGGGAAGTTCATTTGTAGAAACTTGAAAGAATGGGGGAAACTGTCTGCTGATGAAACAAACATCAAACAGGTACTAAAAATGGACTTATTAGGAGATGATGAATGGGGTGGCTCTGAAATATGGAAGACAGAAATTGTTGCTGAAATTGGAAATTGTATCATTGATGATATTACAGAACAGATTATTAATGACATGATTGATTACTAATGAGTATTAGCGCATGCTACACGGATACATGTACAAGTGCCTGATTTAGTTGTTTTGTGTAAATTTTCATGTGTCAAAGTCTCCATATATGCCCCGTATCGAATTATCGAGGAGTCAGGACCCAACACGATACACAAAGAGGGTGTATTACTTGTATATAATTAGTAATATTTGACAGCACTAGAAATAGGAAAGAATAATTTAGTTTGGAATGTATGTTGGGAAAAAGAAAATTAGTATGTGGATGTTGATGTCATTAACTAAACCACCAACAATAATTAAAGTGATGCAGACAGATTTCTGTATATATTTAGAGTTTTTAGACCATCTTTGTCGTTCCTCAATCCTAATTGACATGATTAATGGGTCTTGGGTCACATTGCAATTTAATTAGAATAACACATCGCAAAAAAAAAAAAAATAAATAAATAAAATAAAATAAAATGCAATTTCAGCAACAAATTATCAAGACAATAAATAGTATTAAGTCTAAATTTGTTTTCATTAATTAGAAAAATGGTTGCATATATGATATATGTGGTGGATCTATGTACACATAGCTGATGACAAAAGTACGTCATTTTATAATTGTTAGTTGTTAGTGACTAATTACCTAATTCATTATAACTATATATTAATAACACGTGTCATCTCCTGATTAAATATTTTCCCGCCTTTTTTTTTTCTTTTGGTCAAACCCCAATAACAATAATATTTTCTTTCCATATTTAAGGTATTATATAATTAGAGTAGTATTTTAGCCAAGGACTTTGTATAATCATTCTACTACCTCCGTTTCATATTTTTTGCAACTTTGAGGTATTATTTGTGAGATATAAAATATTACAAAGTTGCAAAAAATATGAAACGGAAGTAATTTTTTTTTTTCTTCCAACTTTTTTAATTTTTGGTAATAAAATCTATTTCAATTAGAGAAGAAAATATTTTGATAACATATATAATTGTATATTCTGTAATTTTCTACTCTTCATATTAATAATATCACAATGTGTCAAAATTTTGTGCAAAAATATTTTCAACTACGAAAATTATAATAATACAATACGTACTCAATCTTAACTAATCGACAACCTATTATGTACACCCGGGGTCATTTGCTCATTCAATCAACAAATGAGTAAAAATATTATTTGCTCATTTGTTGATTAAATGAACCAATGTCCCCGAGTGTACGGTACATCCGGGTGTATATAATGTTTCGGGGTTTTTTGATGTCCTACGGGAGAGTTACAATTCCGGGACTGGTATCCTTGCGCCTATACCTGCAAAACAACGGAGACTCCTTGTGGTGGGAGTTCCGCCTCCGACGGTGAAGTTAGTACTTGTTTGAGGAGTAATAAATGCGGAAAAGTAAAGGTTGCGAGATTTGTTTCCTCTAGGGGAGGAGTGATCAGTGTGTTTAGGTTCTCTAGGTGAGGGTAATTAATTGCTTAATCCCCCTTAATGAGGATTAATTAGAGTATTTATAACCTTAGAAACCGTGTCAAATCCTAGGTTTAGATTAACCTAGGGCTGACTGGGCTTCCCTTGGAAACTGGGCCTAGGTGGCCTGCTTGGCCTATTTGGCATACGGAGGCCACGTGGCGTGTCACAACTGGTCCATGGTGGACAGATCAACTCCTGACACGTGGCAAGCTTCTATTCTCCCTTGTAAGCGGACACTTGGTAGAGCCTAAATGGTCCACTTGTCAGATGGTGATTGGTAAGGAAAAATCCCCTAATCATTTGCCCCTCACAGGTGGCACGTGACTATTCACATGTCACCTGTGACAGGTGTCGGCCTGTAACAGGCGACGGCCTGCTACAGGTATCGCCCTATGACAGGCCGAGCATTTTTCCCGCTCGTTTTTTTGAATTTGGAGGCGACTCTTCGCATTCTCCTTTGCCCTATATAAAGGCATGTTAACCAAGTCTTTTGTTCACATTTGCGAACTTTTTCAAGAGAACTCTTGGACCCCTGAACTTGAGTTCTGACACTTTGCAACTTTTGACCTGCTAGGACGACTGTTTTTACTAGGCGCCTACTCAATCAAGCCCTTATTCAGAACTTAAGTTTCAGGTAACCGTCTGTTTCTTTATTCTTTTTGCTTTTGCACTTTTTCTTTCTTTTTTGAAAAAGAGACCTCAAAAGCATCCGGTACGACCTAGGTTAGCAATCAGCCGGTCACCGGGGACGGCTGAGTCTAGGACTAGGGGTGCCGACTACCCTGCGGTACTTCAAACTTTGCGCAAGTCTCGGAATCCAACTGTCTTTGTATCTATGCAGGACAGTATGGCAAGAACAAAAAAGACCAAGAGAATTGAAAACTCTAATGGCTCCTCTTTCCGGGTTCAGATTAGCGAGCTATCGGACCAGCCGCCTGATACCGCAGGGACCCAAGGCGGCCCTTCTGCTGAGAGCTCTGAGGAGGGAGCTAAAGTAGCTCCTTCCCACTTCTTTGTTGACTTGGCCAGTCAGGAAATGGCCCCTAAAGAAGAAGAGGGGTCGGCCATCTCAGGGAGAGGGGAGGAGTCGGACTCTTCTGATAGTGAGTCTGACTCTAGCTCTTCAAGCTGCCTCTCTATAAACTCAGAGGAAAGGCATGCTCGTTTGCATGAGGCGATAATTTCTCATGCGACCGAAAAGGGGGACGGCTAGTCGGAACCATCCGCCTCTCATAGGGAGTTGTATACTCCTTACTATTGCCATGTCCCAAAGGGCCGGATCAAGGCCATGAAAGAACGAATAGACACTTTTCTATCGGACAATACGATGGGTCCGGATTATCAAGTATTTGTGTCGGATGGTGAGGATACGGTCGTCTGGCCCGCGGGATCCAGCTATGGGGACGCCTGTTTTGGCTGTTACGAGGCGGCCATCAAAGCTGGACTACGATTTCCCTTGCATTTGATCGTTCAACAAATCCTCGATGGATACAAGGTGGGGCTTTGGCAGTTAGCCCCGAATTCTTGGTTCAACATCCTTGGCTATGTAGCCGGATGTGAAATGCACGGAGTGGAGCCAAATTTTGAGGCGTTCACTCATATGAACTATCTCAGCCGGACCCCCAAAGCAAGCGGTACCGGCTGGTACCAAATAACTAGCCACAAAGGCAATCTGATGACGAAGGGAAAAGAAAATAAATGGAAGGATTGGAGGAACACCTTCCTAATCATTTCCAGCCCTGACAAGCTACTGAACAAGCGCTACAATAGGTGGAACAAAGATCCGCCTCTTCTAGCAGGCGGTCGCAGCACGCCGCTTGTTCCCCTCAAGGCCAGGGAAGAGATCCTGGACCGAGGGCTTTTCAAAGTAGAGATTAGGGCAAACTCTACTACTGGGGTACGAGAGCAGGTGCCCCTAAACTGCATCCCAGAGTTTCAATGGCTCTATAACGAGTTTTTTCTGGCCGCTTGCGGCCTTAGTAGTCAGTCCTCCAGAGGTAACCGGCCTCTTGAGTATATATACACTTCTTTTGGTTTATTTTCAATTTTTTTCTAACTCTTTGTGGTTCTTGTTTGTAGTTGACGCTATGGACCAAATTTCTGCATCTAAGAAGGCGGTTGCCTTGCTGCGAGCCTCCATCATGCAACAGAAGCGAACCTCTTCTGATTCTCCTACCAAGGAGACGCCCATAGTGAGTATCGAGCCTTAGAACTGGTCTTGAAAACCTGATTATATCAGTATTGACCATTCATCTTTTTCGCAAGCAGGCACTTCCAAATTCTCCTCCTCCCAACAGCCGGACTCGAAGGTTCAGAAGACGACTGGTGGGAGTACGCCTGGATCTGCCAGGAAACAGTCGGCTGACAAGCAGCAAATCACCCCACAAAGTGTGGGGAACCCATCACTAGTCCTCAGTCGGCCGCCAAGAAGTATAAACTGCTCTACTAGACTTAACTTATTTCTTTATCGCTTTCTTCACGTTTTTGATGTTTTCTCTTTTTTGGATGCAGGCGACCCTCAAGAACCAGACTTGGTCCAAGTGGCCAAGTCTATGATTAAGGCCGTCCCTCAAGAGGAGAGGGACGCGGTCAAGGGAGTCGGCACCCTTGACCTAGACGGCATCATGGGTCTCCTTTCCGAGGTAGACTTAGAATATTTTTAAAGTGCTGACTTTGCGTGCCGCCTGTTATTCTCAAATCTAACGCCTGTTTTTCCTTTTTCCAGACCATGCTGTGAGTACACGGCCTCCGGAGGCCGATCAGCGCCAAGAACAAAGAGGTAAAGGCTGCTAAAGCTATGGCCGCCTCTGACGTTGATAAGGCAATGTTTCAAATTGCCCAAAATGAAATTTTGACAACTGATATTCTTTATTATCAGGCGCAGACCACTTCCGCTATCCGTACCGAGTTGGAGGCAGCCAAAAAGAAGAATAATGAGCTAGAGGCAAAGGTCAAGAGCCTCAACGATGAGCTGTGGCCCCTTAAAAACATTGCCTATAAGGCTGAAGGTCTACAGACGTCTCTTGACAGACTCAAAGAGCGCCTAGAGACGCAGGAGGCGGCCATCACCAAAGATCTTAATGCGAAGGCCGAGGCTGAAAAGATGGCTTTAGCTCAAGCCATGATGGAGGACTCGGCTTAGATTATGAAGATGACCTGGACAACCCTCTTCCCAAAAGCTCACTATGCCGCCTGGGAGAAAATGTTCAACGCTTGTACCTAAACGTACAACCAACAGATCATGAGGCAGGCGGCTGAGGAGGATGAGGCGGCCGAGTCCAGCTTAGAAGAGGAAGAGGAGGTGGTGGCCTTGCAGCCGATTGCGGTAGGTACGTCTAAAGAAGCTGCCCCTGATGCCGAGACAAGTAAGAAGGATGCCTCCCAGAACCAGGCGTCCCTTGCTGATCAGGCGGCGGTCAATACCGAAATTCTACCTCAATCTTAAAGCTTTTATGTCTTTAATTTTTCTTCAACCTGTGCGCCGTGTGTTCTTGTATCATTTTACCCGGCCAGGGGGCCGGGGTATTGAATATTTTGCCAGTCTTTATGGCCGGCTGTTTATATGAATTCGGCGACCATCT